CATTTCCATGAGTTTTGACCAATAGACAAACCTCACATTTTTATTTTTATTTTTGTGAGGTGTTTGGGATGGGACACGGGGCTTTGCATATGCTCAACAAGCTCTTTATGAGTGAACTACGACCTCAGCTCCTGTTTACTTACTTTTTTATTCATTCATTCGTTTGTTTTGAGACAAGATCTTAATATGTTGTTTGGGCTGTCCTGGAACTCCCTTTGTAGACCAGGCCTGGCCTTGAACCCACAGAGACTCTCCTGCCTCTGCCTTTCCAGTGCTGGCTTTAAAGCTATGAGCTATCCCAATTGGCTTGCTTTTGTATTTTTTTTTTTCCTTAAGATTGATATATTTTTAGTTTATGTATGTGAGTATTTTTGCCTACATATATGTGTGTCACACAAGTGCCTGGTGCCCATGGAATTCAGAAAAGGGTATTGGATGCTCTGGATCTGAAGTTAAAAATGGTTGTAAGCCACCAGGTAGATGCTAGGAACCAAACCTGGATCTTCTGGGAGAGCAGCAAGTGTTCCTAACTCTTGAACTAACTCTCCAGCTTTTCACTTTTGTATTTTTGAGAGAGGAGACCTCATAAATTATGTTAAGATCTCAATATGGAGCTGAGGCTGGCTGACCTTGAAATTCTAGCTTTCCTGCTTCTGCCTCCTAAGTGCTAGGAATATAGTACCATGATACATCTGGCTGTGTTTTGTTGTTTTTAAACAAAATTTTATTTTCTGTGCATTGGTACAAAGGTATTAGAATCCCTGGAACTGAAGTTAGAGGCAGTTATAAGCTGCCATGTGGGTGACTGGGGATTGAACCTGGGTCCTTTGGAAGAACAGACAGTGTCCTTAACCATTGAACCATTTCTCCAGCTGTTTCACTCTGTAGCCCTGGCTGGCCTGGAACTCATCACCTTGCTTCCCAAGTGCTGGGAGTAAAAATGTGAGCTGGACTTTTTTTTTCTTGAGACAGAATCTCAAAAATTCTGTCTCAGCAGCATTCTGAATGCTAGGAATACAGACAGGCAACTCTTGGTCCTTGGTGTTTCTGAATAGGATTTCCATATGTAGTTCAAATTGTTTTGTTTTAATAATTCATGTTATGCTCACTGGTATTTTGCTTGCATTTTTGTTTGTGTGAGGGCATCAGAAACTCTGGAGCTGACGTTATAGACAGGTGTGAACTGCATTGTCGGTACTGGGAATTGAACTCAGGTCCTCTGGAAAAGCAGCCAGTGCTCTTAACCACTGAGCTACCTGTCCAGCCCCTCAAATTGGTTTTAAACTTCATCTTCATGCATCTGCTTCCTGAGTTGCTGGGTTATGTGTGTACCGTTATGCCCAGCTCGCTCTCTTTCCTTTGTTTATTCTGTGAGCTCTGGGTTTAGAGAGAGACTGCCTCCATGGAGTAGGCTGGACAGTGGCAGACACCTTCTTTTGGCCTCAGAATGTAACACAAGCTGGAACTTACAATACACTTACCTTAGCATTTTGAGTACTAAGATTCCGGGATGCCCCTCATGCCTACATTTAAAGAACCTCATTGCTCATTCTTTCCCTTGTTTTCCTGCAGTTCTGTTTGGACAGCTAGATTTTCCAGTGAATGGCTTCTTGTCTCTTCTTTAACGATACAGGTGAGGGACTCTGAGCGTAACCAGGGGCTGCAGGGTCCTCCGGCTGAGCCAAGGGGGATGAAGTACCATTCCCGATCAAGAAGCTCCTCCCACTCACCCCCCAGACATGTCAGCAAGAAGAGCACCAAGGAAGACAAGTCCCGGGACAGGAGGTCTCGCTCCCCAGTCAGAAGGTCCCGGTCCCCAAGGCCCAGCAAACCGTGAGTACGCGAAGTCACTGGGACATAATCTGTGGCCACAAGGGCCTGGTCACAGCAGGCGTTTCTTCTGGGTGACGTTCATCTTTTCCATTCGCGGTGTCTCACTGCACTTCCTCTGCAGCATTCTTCTCTCCACCTCACTGCAGTCACTGTGAGCGCAGTGGGCACTTGCGGGGCTGCGCTGTGCTGACACGCGTTCCTCTCCTGTTTGGGTTACACGTTTTCTGTATGTGATGTAGCATATATGCCGGGAAGGTGCACATGCTCGTGTTTGTATGGAGGCCGAAAGAAGTGTCTGCCCCTGTCCACCGTACTCCTGTACTCCTCGGAGGCGGTCTCTCTAAACCTAGGGCTCAGCTTTTCCCCATTGGTAGGCTGGAAGCCGCAAACCTCAGGCTCCTGTCTCCTTCCCACTCAGCTGGGTTACAGGCCTGCACAGGACTGTGCCTGGCTTGTTACGTGGGTGCTGGGGTCTGAACTCTGGTCCTCATACTTACCTAGCAAGAAATCTTACCTGCTGAGCTTCTTGAGGCCATGTGTGTGTGCGTGTGTGTGTATGTGCGCGCGCGTGTGTGTGTGTGTGCACGTGTGCCTTTCTCTCACTCACACTTGTGGAGGCAGAGAACAATTTGAGGGAGTTGGTTCTGTCCTCCAGCACGTGCATTCACAGAGTCTGGACTCAGGTTGTCAGGCTTCGTGGCAAGTGCCTTCACCGCCTGAGCCATCTTCCTGGCCCCAGCCTGGATTACGCTTTCAAAGAAGTTCCATTGTTTGAGGGTATGCTAATAACCCCATCTGAAAAGGCGTGTTCCCTGTCTACTACAGGCATGCCTCTAAGGTGAATAGGAAAGAGAGAGACAGCCCATCACCTAAAAAGGAGGTCTACCAGAGGCGGCATGCTTCCGGATACACCAGGTGAGTCAGGTCCGCAGTAAGCTCAGATTTCACGCGGCGGCATGTAGGGGCATTCACAGCAGAGAGATGGGAAATGCATCTGATTCCCTTGATTCCTCTGATAACTGTTCTTGCTTTTTGGTTTGTTTTTGTGAGATATAGTCTCATGTATCCCAGGCTGCTGCTGGCCTCAAACTTAGTATGTAAACAATGGTGACTTTTGAACTTTTGATCATTCTGCTTCTATCTCCTGAGTGCTGAGTGCTCCCACTCTGTGTGGTCTTGGGGATCCGACCAGGGCTATGTTCATTTTGGGCAAGCACTCCACCAGCTGAGCTACATCCCCAACCCTGGTCAACTCTGTTGGTTTTTTTTATACTGGGTCTTGTATTGTAAACCAGGCTGGCTTTGAACTTGTGACTGTCCTCACACCTCCGCCTCTCAAGTGATGCGTTTACAGCCATAGCCATACCCCTCTGGTCAGCTTCTATTCATTTCCCCCCAACCTCTTTACCTACTCAGGCACACTGAAGGGACATTGAAGAGACAAAGTCCGGCTGGCCACATGGCTCAGTGGTAAAGCCTTGCTACCAAGGCAGACGTCCAGGGTTCGGTCACCAGCACTAATAGAGGAAAAGGAGAACACGTTATCCCCTGACCTCTACATGTGCCCCGTGGTGCACATACCCACTCGCCCACACGAATATGGTTAATACAAAGCTTATAAATGAAAGCAGGACTAGAGAGATGACTCACTCAGCCTAAAGGGCTGCTGCATAAGTGGTTCCGTGGGGCCTGGTGATTAGCCAGCCAGCCTAACTGAACTGGCGAGCTCCAAGTTCAGTGAGAGATCCCATCTCAAGAAATAGGGTAAGAATGGATGGAGGAATGACCGCTGACATCAACTCTGGTCTTCACGTGCGCACGCACACACGTGTGCTCACACGAACTTAAAGTGTTCTTCTTTGGAGTTCTCTGCAGACTTCCTGCTTCAGCATCTAAAGCACTAGGAGCTAGGTGTGTGTGTGAGTGACCACAGTAAGCAGCTTATATATTTATTTAGTGGAGTTGTGTTTTGGGTTTCATTGTTTGTTTTGAGACAGGACCTTACACGGGCAAATTCATCATCCTCTTGCCTCCACTTCTCAGGTTCTGTGGCGATGGGCAGGTGCCCCCATATCCAGCTTAGGAGGTATTTTTTGTTGTTATTGTTTCATTTTTGAGACAGGGTAGCTCATTAGGTAGCTTTGGCTGTCTTGGCCTCACTCCGTAGACCAGGCTGGCCTTCAACTCACCGAAATGCCTGCCTCTGCCTCCTGAGTGCTGGGATTAAAGGTGTTCGCCACCAGGCCCGGCTAGCCATTTAGTGTTTTTGACAGGAAGCATAGTTACCATAGATAACTGAATGTCAGGTTTTAGTATTTTAGTTTTTTTCTCCAATTGGGAACGTGTTTAAAAATAGAACTCCGCCATTTTTCCCTTTCAAGAGAAATCTGTGTATGACAAACTCTATGTACAAACTGTAACCCACCCATTTTAGAAGCAGCGGATTTGGGTGTCTGACATTGTTAAGTGGTGGCTAATCTGGTCCATCACCTCCTTTTTTGTTCTAACTTCCTTTAGGATGAATGCCAGGAAAGAAGACCTGCCTATTATATTCTGAGGTCAAGTCAGGTTGCGGGTATCTAGCTTCATCCCAAAGTGCTTCTTTACATTCTTGGGTTGTATCCATGAATTGGAGTGTCCAACTATATACACATGTGGAGGTCAGAGGAGAACATGGGACTCTACCTTATTCCCTAAGCTTGGCTTCTCCCTGTATCTGGAACTCGATGATTTGGCTAGGTTAAATGGCTAGCCCATTTAGCCCTAGCATCAATGAGCAAAACCAGGGATTTGCTGGTTTTGCCCATTAATGCTAGGGTTATAGGCATGTGTGGCTATTCCCAGCTTTTACATGGGTACTGTGGATTTGAACTCAGGGCCTCATTCTTGCACAAAAGTATTCTTTTGATACTGCTCCCAGCAAGTGCTCTTACCCACTGAGACATCCTCAACCCCCGTACCCGTAGGATTTTGTTTTCATCCATGGGCTTTTAAGCCTCCTTATGGAGTGTGAGGTGGCAACAATCACATGGCCCGGTCCTTTGTTCTGTGAGTTCTCAAGGTTAAGTTCCTCATTAGTGCCCAGTCTATTTCATAGTTGTACTGAGTGTGATTGTGAAATCCCTCACTGGCAGCCTGCATGATTTGGTTGGCACCACCTGACTGAGACATCAGAAGGAGGGACACTGTCCTGGCCTGGCACTGTTCCTTCTCTGGCAAGCCTGTGACCTGCCTGCATGCTGAGCTGCCTCTGTTTTGTTTTGTTTTGTTTTGCTGGGGAAGGAGTAGTACCAATGGGCTTGTTTTTATGCTCAACAGAAAACTCTCAGCAGAGGAACTAGAGCGGAAACGGCAGGAGATGATGGAAAATGCCAAGTGGAGGGAGGAGGAGAGGCTCAGCACCCTCAAGAGGCATGCCAAGGAGGATGAACGAGAGCGCAGGCTGGAGAAGTTGGACTCTCGGTCGGGCAAGTTCCTCCAGTAAGTGGAATTGTTCGTGCCTGGGGCTCCGCCTGCATAGTTTCTGTGAGGCGGCGTGGCCGCAGGCTTGCCGCTGGGGGATTGGCGGTGTTTCTGTCTGTCCAGAACTCAGCCTTGGGACCACTTTTGGTGCTGCTCCCAGCTTCTAGCCAGATAGTGGGAGATTTTCTATTTGAAGTAGAAGTGGTTGGTATTTCCCCCAAATCACTGAAATTCTTTGGCCTTCCTTTTAAGCAAAAATTTATGGCTCAGAAAACCTTTTTCCAATGAAACTTGACTTATTTTCCAAAACAGATGAGTTTTCCCTTATGGACATGTAAAAAAACCCTGTTTCCAGCTGGGAGTCATTTGAAAGTTGTCTATGTGGGCTGAAAAGAACTTGTGTCCAGTTGCTTTCTGGCTACAAACCTTTTCTTCTGATCCTGCCAGAGTTTGACCAGTTAAAAAATGTCTTTTTTTCCCCGTTCACCTGTCTTTTTCTTCCCCAGTCGCATGAAACTGGAGAGCGCGTCCACTTCCTCCCTGGAGGACCGGGTGAAGCGCAACATCCACTCTCTGCAGCGGACGTCGGTAGCTCTGGAGAAGAACTTCATGAAGAGATGAGAACCAGCCACTCACACTGGTTTTCCTCAGTTTACCAGGGAGCCCGCTGACTCCTTCCAATTCTCTTTATAAGAGTTCAAATGTCTTCTACCGATGAAAAACCACCGTTTTAAAGTGCCCCTTGTCCACTGACTCCTGAAAAATCGTGCATCCTTGAAAAATCAGTGTGACTTGGGGCCCTCAGGAACTCTGGCTGGAAGGGTTTTGACTGTGGTTGACCGGATGGGTATTAGAAGGCGGGGGGGGGGGGGGGGGGGGGGGGCAGCGCCGCTCGGCCCCCCGGGGGGGGGGGGGGGGGGGGGGGGTGCTTGTCACGCCTCTTCCTCCCACCAGACTGAATGGATCAGACTTCCAGAGACCACTCTCCCCTGCCACCCACACAGACCATGCCACTAGGATAAATGCATATTGACGCTGTTCAGTAGATTATGTGACAGAATAGCCAAGTGTCAGGCAGAGCCAAGAGAGGGAAGAAGCTGGAAGAGAAAACAGTACCCAAAAAAAGCCCAAACGAACTGTTAACTATTTGGTCTTTGAGCTGTAACAGTACAATGTGTATATGTACAAATGTATAATTTTATACTCGCTTCTAAAGTTAGCTTCATGAGAACGCTTGTTTGATAACCTTGTCAGAAAGTAACACACTGGGCAGCTTGGCTTCCTCTTCTCTGACTCAGGCCATAGGGGAGCTTTAAGGCTACTGACAGAATCTAGCTGTGGGGTAGCTAGCCTTGTGACATTTGGATGGGACTTTGTCCTCTACAAATGTGTTAGGTGGCATTCATAGCTATTACTGGCTTCAGGAAGGCCACAACCGCCAAGGCACATACCCCCTCTGTCCTCAGAGTCTCGCCGGGCAGCCCCGTGGGGCAGGAATCAGGGCCCGCGTTGTCAGGATGGTCTGTGCCCCCTAAAAGAAGACCATGGGAAGCTGTTTGTCTTCTGGCTGCTTTGAGGTGAGGTCTCCTGTAGCCCAGGCTAGCTTTGAACATGCCGTGTAGCTGAAGATGACCCTGAACTTCAGATCCTCTGGCCTTTACCTCCCAAGTGCTGGGATGACAGCACTACGCACAGTTGCTGCTGCTACTTTGTCCTTCGTCTTTTGAGTTGGGGCCCTTACTGGCCGGGCTCACCTGGTGGTGGCTCTCTTCAGCCTCCAGTGCTGGCTGGGATTGCTGGCCTGAGCCATCCTCCCCAGCTTTCTAGCTTCTCTTTTATCCTATAATAACTAAAAATCTGAGACCCAAGGGGCCACTCCTGTATCTTTACTGTTATTCCTTTCCCATTCTTTTGCCAAGAAGCCCTTATTTGACCAGGGAACTTCTAGGTGCTCTTGAAATAAACAACAGATTCATCCTAGCCCAGGCTGACCTTGAACTGTTGATCCTCCTATCCTAGCCTCTGGAGCTGTGACTACAGACCATTTGGCCCGCAGAGGCACTTCTAACCCATACATTAGTTAAGCCATTTATTTCCTTGTTCTACCCGTTCCTAATTCCACCTACAATATATTTGGATTTTTTTTTTTTTAAGCACTAAAATTCCAGGCACTGTAATTTTTCTTTTTTTTTTTTTCCTTTTTTAGTTTTCAAGACAGGGTTTCTCTGTGTAGCCTTGGCTGTCCTGGACCTGCTATGTAGATCAGGCTGGCCTCGAACTCAGAGACCCGCTTGCCTCCGTCTTCCTAAGGTGCCAACGCGCCAGACTGGCACTGTAATTCTTAAAACTCAGTTTTCCCCCAGAGAATGTAACAGTATTCACTTAATCACCTCTTCCTACCGCCCTGTACGATGGTTAATTATGGCTTTTATTTTATTACGTGGTAATAAAGGTTACATTTATTTTTGTAACTATGTAAAGAGCGACCGACCACGTGCGCGGTACCGAGTTTTCATATCCCCGCACAAACGTGGACCTGTGAATTGTGTCCAATACAGAGATCCTCCGTCCAGGAGGAATTACGTAATAAACCGTGGGCGGTGAATTCGGACTTCTTGGAGCAAGAACTGAAGGGTCACTGGGCTACGCGCCCGCAGGTACTGGCGCTCTCCAAACTTGACCCTGCGTTTAGAGGCCCGGCGGCAGGTGGGTGGGCGCGCGGCCCATTCATAAAACCCAGGTTTCTCGGCCTGCCCCTCTGATTGGCCCCGGGGAAAGGGGGCGTGCCCCGCGGGTGGGGCGCGCCGTCGGCCCAGGGGAGTGGGAAGACCCACGCTTGGGTGGAGCGAGGGGGCGGTCCGCGGTCTCCCAGGCAGGACTTCCTTTTCCCTTCGCCGCGTTATCGCCTCTCCCCCGGCGTGGGGTGGTACGTCCCAGCCTCCTCCCCGGCCGGCCCGTCTCTCCCTCCCGAAGCGGTGGCGCTGCCGCCATCTTGGCGCTTCCGATGGAAGCAGGGCCGAGCCCCGGCCTTGGGTGGGCCTGAGCAGGACGCCCTTCTCGTGTAGTGCCTCGAGGCTGTCCGTCCCCCGCCCTCGCCCCCGCGCGTGGCACCGGCTGGGGCCCGGGAGGAGGGGTGGGCGGGGCGGCCGCCGCGACCCGGGGCGGGCGGTACCATTCCGACGTGGAGGGGAGGGCCGGCAGCTGGGGGGCGGGGCCGCCCGGGGGCGGGGCGAGGAGCGGGCTGGCCTGTTCCCCGGGGCGGGGCGGGGCGGCGAGGGCGGGGCGTGGGGCGGACGGAACCACCGGGGCGGGGTGGGGAGGTAACGGGACGGGCGCGACCATGGCTCGGTGAGGCAGCGGGGGTGGGGATCTGTTCGGGGGAGGCCTGGGGCCGCTCGCTGGTGCGCTGTCTCCGCCACCCCCCCTTTCGCTACCGCCGCCGCCGCCGCCGCCGCCCCGGGCATGTCGTCCAACTGCACCAGCACCACGGCGGTGGCGGTGGCGCCGCTCAGCGCCAGCAAAACCAAGACCAAGAAGAAGCATTTCGTGTGCCAGAAAGTGAAGCTATTCCGGGCCAGCGAGCCGATTCTCAGCGTCCTGATGTGGGGGGTGAACCACACGGTAACCAGCCTCCCCGTGCGCGCCCCCACTCCCCAGGGCCTCGCCACGCTCGCCCCGCGGGTGACGCCTGCAACCCCTCCGCCGAGCCACTTGCATGCCCGCCCACCCGTGCACGCTGTCCGGCCGGGCGTGCACTCCCCGGTCGCCACGCGAGGCCTGCTGTCCCCTTGCTATACCGTTGTCGTCTCCCCTTCGCTCCAGCCCCACTGATTTTCTGCTCGCTCCGTGCAACCCCTGAGCTCTGAGGGAAGGCCTGGGCTCTGCGACGACGCTGCTTCTAAGGGCTGTTGCCCTTGTCTCTTAATAGCTGGCTGCCAGATCATTGCCCAGTTGACAGGGCAAGTGGCACTGGCCTGCCTGAATATTCCTGTTTGTGGTCGTTTCGTTGGTGTGGCTGCACAGAGTTTTTTATTTTCTAGGCCTCTTTACGCCTGGCTGTGGAAACCCTCTCTTGAGTTTCCTTTCTTCTTCTTATTGAAAGACGGTACCAGCTGGAGAAGCAGAGGCTTCTCTGAACCACTGACACCTGACCTGGGTCCCCTGGGATGAAGGAGGAGTGTGAACACAAGGCCTGAGGGAGTGTAGACCTGGTTATAGAAATTAGGCGTCTTTCCCGTTCTTCTGTGGTGTTTCAAAGATGTTGACTTCTTGTCTGTCGGATGGTTTTCCAGGATGTGGTAATGACAGATTACTGTCCCAGACGAGTGGTCCCCTGGGTCCTGGGTGCTCTGAGATTGTGCAGTAGCCTTGCCAGGAAGTTGCATGTGGACAGTGTTTGCTGGTTGACTTTATTTATGTGCAAGTTATGTAGGGTCTGTCCTCTTCCAGCGGCCTGCCCCTTGCCTTGTGACAACTTCTTTGTGAGTTCCCTATGCTGGGAGCAAACAGATGAAGTGGCTCCCAGATGAGGTGAAAGGACCTGAGGCGCTAACTTCACCATCCACAAGTTTAGAATGAGGGAAGTGAAGGGTTGGGTTTCCTGTGGATTTCATTCTTTAAGGCTCCCTGGCTTTTCTTATGGACACTTGAAATTGTCCAGAAGACCAAACAATGACCCAGGGGCCCAGGGTCAGCAAGACTTCGTTTTCTGTTGTTTTGGTAGAAGACCTAGAGAGGAGCCTTTGGCTAGAGTGTGTCAGATCTCTATGTCCCATTAAGAGAAGTGCACGTGTGTGTGAGGTCCATGTCTCCGTCTTGGTCAGGTTATCCTTCTCCTCGTCATCGCTGGGGTTAATGAGTATCCTGGCAGGGTAGTGTGATGCCTGGACCTCTAAAGCTGCTGGAGGTCAACAGGGAGCAGAGTTTGCTCCTCTCGCTTCCTGCTGCTTCTAGGGGTCATCTGACTTTTCCAGGGAAACTGGGTCAGCAGAATGTGAACCCTGTATCCTTTTCTGGAAGTCAGTCCTTGATTTTGACACCCTGCTTCTCACTAGAAAGCACCCTGTCTGTGCAGAGAGCTGGTAGGCAGGTCCCTGATATGACTCACGAGACAAGCCTCTGGTGGAGAGTACCTTGCCTGTGGTCACTCTAAGAGTTCCTTGTCTGGCACCAAGAGGCCCTGTCGGTTAGTGGCGGTCCTTGAGTGATAGGTCTTTTGTTCCTTTCACTCTCTTATCCATGACCAAGGTTAGATGAGGGTACGTATGGTCTTGCTAGAGAACTGTACTGGGGGAAGGTAGGGGTGTGTGTGTGTGTATGTGTGTGTCTTACTGTGCGTGCCAGTTCCTGGGCTCATATATGGTGTTTGGTTTTCTCGAGGGCAGGTCATCAGTGTGCAAAGATGTGGGCATGTGATGGAAGGCTTTGAGTGGCAAGTGGGCGTGACGGTCACCATTTATTTCCCTTCGCTAGCTTTAAGATTAAGGTTTGATGGGCGAGCCGGAAAAGCATTGACATTGAGCTAGAGCCGCAGGCATCTAGACATAATGGGAGGGGGAGGGCACGGAGCACCACTACCCTGGATAGGTGAGCTTTTAAGGTCAGTTAGTTGTCTTGCTTCATTCTGGCCCAAGGTAAGGTGTAGAGGTGCATGTACCCAGAAGGGCATGACTCTAGGGGACCTTGCCGTGTTTCTAGGGTATTAGGACTGCATTGTTCCTAGTGGGCAGCCGGCCTTTCTTGGAGTTTCCCTTTCTTCAGAAGCTCCCTGTTACACCTCTTTGCCACTTAAAATTACATATATCACCTTTTCTTCGGTTCTTCAGTAACTCAGTCTTTGAAGCTTTTAGTCCTGTTGGTCTAGAGCTAAAATGGTGTCTCAGATAGGAATGCATTTGTCTATGGCAAAACCCGGTTACCTTCTCGTGGTCAGTCGGTTTACTTCCAAGTTGTAAAGAGAAGCCTTTTTAGAAGGAACTGATTTGTTCTTCGTTTTGTTAAAAGAGGCATTTGGACCCAGTGTCATCAGAGGAGTCCCTGGAGAAGACAGGCAGCAGCCCTTGGTGTCTGTGGAGGAAAAGAGGGTAGGAGTCGAAGCCAGAGAGAAATCAAAATGCTAGACCCGAAAGGGTGGAACTAGTGAGGAAAGCAAGCAAGCTGGGGTTTTAGTGGATGAATCAGAGTTCAAAGAGTCTGGAATTAGGTACTCCTTGAAGGAACCCAGAGCCTGCCAGCTGCCCTGTCCTGTGTGTGTGGGTCCCTTTAGGAACCGCGGGTGTGTGGAGTCTCAGGAGGAGGAGGAGTAGCAGTTGATGGTAACTCTGTCTTTACTCATTTGAGAAGCCGCCAGCTCTTCCCCAGAGTGGCTGCACCATTGTACATTTCTGTCGGTGGCCTGTGATGTGATTGCTCCAGATCTTTGTCAACACTTGTTACTGTCTTTTTTAGCATAGGCATTCTAGTGGGTGTGAAACAGTGTCTCATTGTGATTTTGATTTGCATTTCTCTTGTAACTAATGATGTTAAGTAACCTTCCGTCTTCACTGGCTGTTGTATATTTTCTTTGTAGAATGTCTATTAAACCCTTTGTGCATTTAAAAACAAATTGTGCTTATTTATTTACCTGTTTACTTGTTTACTTTTTTATTTATTTTTGTGGTCCTGGGATATGGTTATGAACCCAGAGCCTTGTGCATGCTAGGCAAACACTTTTTTTTTTTTTTTTTTTTTTTAAACTTTAGGCTTCTGAAGAAAAAGAACCCACCAGGAGCAATGCAGCCCTGATCTCCTAGCTCAATCTGGCCTCCAACTCTCTGAGTAGTTTAACATGACCTTGAACTTCTGAAACTCCTGCCTCCCCGCTTTGAGTGCTAGATTTACTGCATGTGTCATTGTTTTATGCAGTGCTGGATACCAAACCTAGGGCCATGTATGTATATGCTAGGGAAATGTTCTACCAACTCAGTTACATCCTCAGCCCCCTGTCCACGTTTGTTTTATTATTATTATTTAAATAGAACCTCATTAGGTTGCACAGGGTGGCCTAAACTTCTTCTGTATCCCAGGCAGGCCCCGGATTTGCACTCTTCCTAAGCAGCTGGGAAATCCCCCAGCTCCGCAGGGTCCAAGTTTATTTTCTTTTGAGCCAGGATCTCAATGTGTGGCGTGTAATCTTCCTGCTTCTTCCCCCCCCAGTGCGGAAGTGCTAGCCACCGTGCCCAGCCTTGCTTCTTGCTCAGTTTAGCCTCTGAATTATTAATGCTCATGGCTCGTGGAGTTAATCATGGGGATAATCCAGAAACCATTTACGTGAGGAGATGCAGCAGACTTGCCTTCCAGGGGAGTATGCTTAGCCTGGCATTCGACCGGGTTCACGGTCCATGATGCGCTCCGTGCTGCTGAAGGGGAAGAAGACAGGCTCAGGACCGCACAGATAGGAAAGCAGGCACGCATCTCCCCGAATCCTCCCTGCTGCAAACCTTGACGTTCCTCTTCTACCAAGTAAAGTCTCTTTTCTTTTTCTCTTCCTGGTGCTTGAGGCTTCACAGTCTGGCCCTTGCTTGCATAGCTGACCCTTAACCTTCTTTCCCATCCCACCAGACAGGGAGATGTGGGCACAGTGACAGCACTCTTGCTTGTGTCTGCTCGCCTTCCTCCTTCAGACCCCGACTCCCTCCTTTTTTTTTTTTTTTTTTTTTTCTGCTCATCTGTCCTTCATCTCAACATTTATCAGGCAACTCTTTAGTTCCAGTTGTGTTCTAAGGGTCTCTCAGTGGAGTGGAGAAATCAAACATGTAAAGAAATCATTACCTGGCCTGTGAGATGGCTCAGCAGGAAAAGGCAGCTGCCGCCAAGTCTGACCCTAACTGTATGCGTTCGATTCCTGGGACCCAGCTAGTGGAGGAAAGAGAAAAATGACTCCTGTTAGTTGTCCTCTGACCTACACATGTGCACCCATAATGAATGAATGAATGAATGAATGAATGAATGAATGAATGAATGAAATTACCCTGAATGTGATACTTAGTTTGTAAAGATGCACAGAGAAATGAGGAATTAATTCATCCTGGGGGAAGCAGGGAGTCTCTCAAGACAGGATGATTTTGATTATTCTTTGGCCTTTATTCTTTCCATTCTTTTTATTTCACTTTATATATATATTTATGTGCTATATATATATATGTGTGTGTGTGCTTGTGTGTGTGTATGTATGTATGTATACTCTATTTTTATAAGGTATTCTGCCTGCATGCCAGAAGAGAGCACCAGATCTCGTTATGGATGGTTATGAGCCACCATGTGGTTGCTGGGAATTGAACTCAGGATCTTTGGAAGAGTAGCCAGTGCTCTTAACCTCTGAGCCGTCTCTCCAGCCCCATCCCTTCTTTTTTAAAAAATGGCTTATTTTTCTTTTATGTGTATGGGTGTTTTGGCTGCATGTAGTGCCCACAGAGGCCAGGAGAGGTCCTCAAAATTAAATTATAGACTGAGTGTTGGGAATTGAACCTGAGTCCCTTGTAAGAGCAACAGTGTTTTTAACCACTGAGCCATCTCTGGCCCATATCCTTTCCATTCTTTTTTTTTTTTTTTTTTTTTATTTATTTTTATTTTATGTACATTAG